AACACAAATTTTCAAAATATTCCTTAAGAATTTTAAGTGTAAAAACTAAACCACACACACACAAAAACTCCAAAAAACCCCCAAAACCCAAACAAACAAACAAAACCCCCAAACAAGTAACCACAAAAAACAACCAACAAACAAAAAACCCCACCAAAACCAACTGTATTTCTCTGTCTTCTGGAAAACTGTTATTGTAGTGAGATTCTCCCATTACAGGAAGAAGAGCCAACCCTGATGTTCTTTATGACTACACAAGGATTCCTATGTATTAGCTGTTTTCTGGCCTTGCACCAACAGTGCAAGTCATTTTTCCAGATAATCATATTTTTTCTAAGTGGATCCAGAATGAAATTTCACTGCTAAGAAGCCAGTTTTCTATTAGGAAATAGTCATCTTAAATCTTTTATGTTAAAGGATAGGGTTTCACGTATAACACATTGATTTTTTTAACCCTTTCTTCTATGCCAAAACTCAATTTTAAACAGTATTTTGAAAGGGTTTTGTTTGGTGGTTTGTGGTTTTGGGGGTTTTTTAACCCCCATGAAAGCATGATGCTTTCAGGGTTTTATGTACGAGGATGTTAGCTTCATTAGCAAGTATTTCTTGTTCTATATGTAGAAATACTCCTGTATCCTTGATTTTATTTTGTAATACTAGTGATGTGTCCTGATTTAACTTTTGGTCCAACCATGACCATCTGAAGATGTGTGCCTTTTGCTGTTTTCGCAAAGTATTTTTTGTTTAGTTTATGTAATGGCATAATTGCTTCGTCTAAGAAGATATGTAATGCCTTACCTGAAAGGATCATTTCTTACTCTCAGATGAAGTTGGGTGATCAAGGGAAGAAGAAGTCTTTTCAACAGTAATTATCTAAGAGCAGAAGCAGTATTAAACAGTGGCTATTATTTTAGTATTTTTGCACCCACAGATGTGTGAACTTCAATAAGCATCTAAAAGGAGGTGCCAGCTCAAAGTCCTTACAAGAGCTTGCAGTTCTTTTCTTTGAGAATGTTATTTCCAGAGATTGTGTTGGTTTAGCCTGTTCTATTTATCTGGGCAGCTAAGGTTTCAAAAAAAAAAATGTATCTGGAAGTGTCATGTGGTGCTTTATTCTCCTGGAAGTTGCAAACACTCCTGTGGACTTACCAAATCCAGTTTAGGGAGCACTGCTTTCATTTTATTTTTTTAGGAAACAAAAGTACCACCTTCTTCCATAAATGGATTTCTCAATGTAGTGTTTAATTCTCTTTTGTGTGTTTTTGAAGCATGTACTAGTGTGTTGCAAAACTGGGGCTTTAGTTTAAAATACAATTTTAACTGGAAACTTTGCTTTGCCATGTTAGAATGTTACATTTTAAATGTATTTCAGGTGTTCACCTCTGCTAGTCTAGCTTGATTTAACTTGACTAAACTTCAGGAGCAGTTGAAGCAATATAAGGAGATATTAAAACTTGCTTTGAAGAACCTGAACAAACAGATAGATATCCTGAAAGACAAGCTTTAGAGATGGAGCACTAGGGAGATGAAGAAAGAAATCTTGTAGTCGGGATGCGCAGATGTGGCATTTGTGTCATAATCGAGACATGATCCTAGGAAGAGCCATAGAGGGGCCATAAAGCAAGAGTTGCTATAACCAGAACCACAGCAGTGGCTCTAAAATATTGCTGTAAAGTGTAAGAGTGTGTGTGTGTGAGAACCTTTGAAGGTCTGCCTGTAGTCATGGCATTGATGACATTTAGCAAGTACCAACAAATAGCAAGGGAACTGTAAGGAGTATAGATTAAACTTAATTGCTTAAGATAGACAAAACCAGATTAGACTAGCTTCATAGTACTTACCTGGAATAGGGTGTTGGTATAGTTTGAAGAAAAAAGCCCAGCAACTGTTTCCCCACACACACCTCCTACCTGAATTTTATGCTGTAGCTTGAGTTCATGGGTCATGTGCAAGCTGTTACACAGTTCACAATGGGGACTACCAGACATAACAGACTACTACTCATATAGGACAGGAAGGTTCTGAACTCTGGCAAGAAATTACTTAATCTTCATTCCTAATGTATGCAGTAAGTGCCTTAACAAAGCTGCTACTTCTTGAGTTATTACTTCTGTAATTAGTGGGTCTAGCAGGGATGTAGGGATAGTATCAGGCCTAGTGAAAGAAACTGGGAGTGGTCAGGCACCATTAGTTTGTTTATATGACACCTAGAGATGGTAGCTGAGGCTTTAGAGTCATATATATGTAGTTTACTACGTATTGACTGTATGAGAGCAGCCCAGACAATAAATCAAAGGCAGAGAACATGGTAATAACATTCCAATTTTGTTTTACACAAGTCGCAAGAACCAAATTCTGTGAGGGTCTTCATCACGTTGATTGTATCAAAAGACAAAACATCATGCAGTAATGTGAAATTACTAGCACAACCAGACGAATACTCAGTGTACCTGGAGCTGCTGGAGAGGGTCCACAGGAAGGGCCACAAAAATTACCAAAGGGCTGGAGCACCTCTCCTGTGAGGACAGGCTGAGGAAGTTGGAGCAATTCAGCCTGGAGAAGACTCTGGGGAGACCTTACAGTGACCTAAAATATTTTGTTTATTTTTAGTATTGGGCCAGTCAACTGAATAAATATTTAAACAGTTGTTAATAGGGCAAAGGACAGGTGGCACCCACATGAAGTACAGCACTATTGCATAACCACTTACACATGGTCAAGGTTGCCGCTCCTGAAATGTTCCTTTTGCTGTTCTATGTTATGTTTGACCAATCCATCGAGTCAAGCTCTTGCATGTTTTCCTAAAGATGTGGGTGTGCAACTTGTGCTTGCAGATGCAGCAGTTTTCTGAGCTTAGTCTGCATTTTTTTATTCATATAAAAAATATATTTTTATTTATATAAAATTCCCTAGGTTTGGATTTAGGGCAGGGTTTATATATATACGTATATAGACACACACATATACACACAACTATATATATGTAGGTATATATATGTGTATGTATATACACATATATGTTTATATATTTGCAAGTTCCACCAAATTCTAAGGGATTAGAAGTCCTAAGCATATATAGGAATCTAAAGTAATGTGATCTTACAAGGCAGGGGCATTCCATCTGCAAGTGATGAGGTATTTCAGAATTATTTTTGTTGCCTTCTGTGTATGAAAGTGAGTACCATCCTATTGTCTTTATTAACAATTTGATGTCATGGTTCATATGCACAGTGCTTGCTAATTCTGTTAAATCAATACCTTTCTCAGATAGGTTTAGCCTCATTTTTGTGGAGAAGTAAGTTATACCCTGAGAACCTAATATTAACAATATAGGAAAGCACATATGACAGTATGCAGCAACCATCTGTACTTGCATGCAGATTAGGTTATTTTTACTCACACTAGTTAAGCACAGCAACTTCACCAGCCTGTGTACTGCCGAGCTGCTTCACTTTGTTGCTGACATGCAGCTGACTTACTCCTGCAAAAAATAATTTTCTGCATACTTATTTTTATTTTCTGCATATTTATTTATAGCTCCATTAGGTATTTAGCTGTTTGAATGGAAAATATTATGTCTCTAAAGGTTTATGCAAAAAGTGTTATCAACCTGGAATGTAAGTTTTAACCAAGGCTTTGAATGTTAGCAGACTGCTTTGTAATTTAGTAATTACCTAGTCAAGACTTGCTTCATTTGTGATCCAAAACTCCCTATCTACCCCTTGTCTTAAGTGCTGATGTATTACCATTGTTTTTCATGTCATGTAATAGTCTGTATGGTTTGTGTTTTAGATGTGACATCCAGACAGAAACAGTCCTATTGCAGCTGGAACTGTTTTAAGTGCCATTTATTGCCTTTGTGAGGGAGTAACACACAATTATTCCTTCATAAGTAATAAACCATAAATTTGACCTCACTTATTTCTTTACATGTGCAGAACCAATGGCTTTTCCAAATTTGGTTCATCAGACAAGAAATTAAAAAGACACTATTGCAAACAGCTCTAGATTACTGCTTCCCTCTGAGTTCTTTGGAATTCTTGTTTCAGATGTGTCATTCATTTTAGTGCTATACCAAACCTGTGAGACTGGCGTTTGTGTCTTAAGCATTACCCATCTTTGACAAGAACTTTACTCCAGCAGTGGTTTGTGTTTCCAGGCATCTTTTAGACTCTCGAGAGACTTCTTCCAGTAGTAGATCTCTACCCCTTAAATTAACACTATAACTGATAGTTTTTTATCCTTTTCTGGCTAAAAGTATATAATTGCTGTCTCCAAGGCCTTGTAATTCCTTTTGGGAAAGCAGTGCTAGAGTACATTCTCCTAAGAGCTACAACTCCTCTTGTGATTTAGATGTATTCCTAGCCAGCTGAACAGCAATAGGAAAAATAGTGTTAAGTTGGCATTAACACCCATGAAAGCCAAGCATTCATCTCCAGTTAGGACCAAGACTTATTCCATGGTCAGGCATTTCAGAAATAGTAGCAGCAACACAAAAGTAAAATACTGCAGTCTGAAATAAAGATTAACCAGGCTACATCATTCATTTCTTCACTGTAACATATGCCATAAGGGGAAAGGTAAAGTAGAGCAAGGAAATTTAACTTTTTTATTTACAAAATTGGATCTTAATTTCCGTATTAGGAAAAAATATTCTAGCCCCTACGTTTAACATTTTTACTTGGCCATTACAGTCAGTGTGTACCATGTGAAAAGAACACAGGTAGTGAAGAAAAAGGATATGTCAAAGACCTGCCCAAAGAAGATTTACTACAGGGATGTGCAGATCCCTATAGATTTTTTTTCTTTAAAAAAACCCCCAAAACATACCACAAAAACCAACTAAAAAAACCCAAAACAGAATTAAGATTTTACAAAAATCATTAAAATTATTTGATAGCAAGTTTAGTAACTGAGATGTCTGCCATGTGATGCAGTTAGTTTCAGCCATAGCATCATAATTCATGTTTGTGGAGTTACCAATATGAAAAGCCTTAGGCTTAAGATCTTCTGAAGCGGGCCTCAATTTGTTCCAGGGTCTGTCCTTTTGTTTCAGGAACACAGAAGGCTGTAAAAGTTACACTGAGGCGGCAGAAGGCCAAGAAGAGCCAGAACATACCAGAGGATGTTAAGAAACGCTGAGGGAGGGGAAACGACAGGAATCGCATTATTACACCTCACTACCATAGGACTCCAGTTTTGGATTTCCAGAGAAGGCTGTGGCTCAATGCTCTTTCAAGAGCATCTTTAATAAACGTCCCTATGAAAAGAAACTTCAGACTGTAATTTACAATGCTTACTGTAAAATCATTAAATTCTCTGGTTACCAAGGCCATCATCCAGGTTGTTAACACACAAGCAGTACTCGATATGCCTCTAGCTTTAAGTAGGAAGATTTCAGATACCACCAGTCAAGGAACAGGGCCCCAGCCAAGGGCAAAACCTGCAGTTACAAACACAAGAGAATAAATCCAAGTATATATTCAAAGGGAAGACTGAGTAATGCCCCAGTCAGTGAAGGAAGGGGGATGAAGTTTTCACTCTAGATTCTTGGATTATTCCAGTAAAACGGTACCTCTACCAAAAAGTATGTTATTTTAAGGCACCATGATAAATACCAGCGCATTTTCCATCAAACTCATTACAATGCTACTCTTAACAAGCAGAGCTTCTTGCCACAAAGTCTCTGAGTGATAAGCTTAAAAACTGACCTTGTTTCTAACTGCTGCTGCCTTCTGCCATCACAGAATTCAGTGCAGCTTAGACACTAACACACTGTTTTCTATTAATGACTGTAAAGCAGCTTAACCTGAGCAATTACTATTAGCACAAGGAGGTGTAAGTTTGTTTTCTGGGGAAGTGGCTTAATTAAGCTGTTAGCTCTATCACTAGGGTTGTGAATGCCCAGCCAAAAAGTCTGTTCAAGACATAACTCATCAGTAATGTGACAAAAATGGAATAAAACTGTCACTAATTGCCAGTTTTGTGTAATGATGGCCTGGAAGCCTGTTCCACTTACCAACAACAAAGAGACCTAGGCTCACTACTGCAAGCCAGGATATGCTGCTTTCTGTTCCTGGAGATGCTGAATTTAGAGTGAAGAATACATCAGGATTTTATGCGTTGATTTGGAAGGACCATTTTAAAGTAAAGCACAAACAATGCAGTACTGAGAGCCATGATTATCCCTGAAAAGTAAGCAATAACCAAGCTGTTACAGGTTGACACTTGGGTGTTCCTCTGAGAGACAGAACACAGGCTGGCCCTCACAGAAGTGTTTCTTAAAAGACAGTATTCTTGGAAATAAATGCTGACCTTGACAGGAGTGAAAGATGCTAGACAAGCATTCTAACCACTAGGCAAACAACTTAGGCTCGACAGCAGTCATTACTATCATAACTGTAGTCATGTAGAACTAAACACCGCAATATGTCATGGAAGTAGGAGCACCCACAGAGAAATTACTCTGAAATAGCCATTTGTTGATAACTTGGGTATGAGGATGTGTCGTAACACTGAATCTTACTTACCAGAAAAACCACCACAGTAGTAATAAATGTCTCAGTGACATAGCTCTTCCAAAATAAAACCTGGCTTGGTAAGAAGTCAAAAAGATAGCCATTTCTAGTTTCCAGGGGTTCTGCCTACAGTGTATACACAACATGATGATTTCTTCTTATGAATTTAAGTCTATGATTATACCAAATTATAAATAGAAAGCAAAACACTTAAAATTAATTCCTCCCAACAGTTAAGGCATTTTTTGGTACTACATACAGTAATTTTTCTTACTGAACAAAATTCAGTAATGTATTTTACCAGATACACAAAGCAGCACTCTTCATCCAGCTTTATCTATGATAAGTGGAGCCACAGCAGTGAAACATACCTGTATGGAACCCACAACAACAGAGGCCATCCCGCTGTCCTGAAATAAAGTAAGAGGGAGGGAGAGTTTGCTCTTTCAGGCTGGTAAGAGGATCACTATTCAAGCATTACAAATGCATTTATTTTTTCAGTCTGAAAGAAGATACAACTGTGACACAGAAATTAATGGTGGATGAAGACAAGGGGAAAAAAATGAAAAAGGAAAAAAAAAAACCCACCACACAGACATCTCCAATGAACACAACATAAACTTTAAAATAAGCCACAGCTTCTTTCTAGAGTTTCACTTTCTCTGGAACACTGCATTTCCAACTCTAATAAACAAAACCAATACAGGAATTTCTATCAGACCAGCAAAACACAAAATACTTTCCCCCCAAAAAACCATGACATTCAGGTATGCCAGAGCAACACAGTCAATAGGGTATCTAGAATTCAAACAAAAATATCCCTAAAACCCAAACTCTTGTTATTTATGACATGGGCAGGATCATTATCAAGTCGGTTTGTTACATGTTTTAGGCTTACTATATTACTGACCAAGCAAAAACTATTACAGACATTTGTCAATTTGGAAATAAACACCGATTACCTTGAAGTTTGCATCCTCAAAGATAGTTTCTGCATAAAACATAACTGCATTAATGCCTGTTACTTGCTGGAAGAACATTAAAGCCACACCAGTAAGAAGTGGCCTGTAGATTGAGGGGATCTTAAATTCAGAGAGATATAGTCCCTGTTAAAAAGATTAAGGAATGCTTTGATAAATAGTTTTATCTTTTAAACAGAAGAACATAAACAACAACAAAACACCTCAAAATATTCCAGTCTGCTCACACTATGTATCTTAGCAGTAAAAATGTTAACATTTGAAGTATCCAAGAACTTCAGAAAAGCATTTTCCCCCCATTTCTCAGGTTCTAGACGCAAGACATTGACAGTACTTTGCAGAGAAAGTTAACGTGAATGGTTTGCAGAAACCAAACTTTAATGATTAGACCTACTTATTTAAGCATATATCTCACAAGAGGCTAAATGCTGCTTTTAGAGACACAGGACAAAATGCAATGCCAACATTAGGAAAACAGTGTTACGAGGTGTTGAACAATCCTACAAAATCTCTAAATAAACCAAAAAAAGATAGCTGTCATATAATTGACAAGATCACAAGCCCAACTGCTACTCACATACACTGATGGCAGCTAACTATGACAGCAGTTGCAGCTGAAAGGTTGAGGAAGAAGATTTCTTTGAATGTCACTTGCTTCTTGAGGATCGTTTGTATGAGGGAGCAGGTTTGGACCACCATTTGTAGAAAAGGCCATTAACTACGCCTTGGTAAAACCCTTTTAGTGACACCGTATGCTTTCAGATGTTATCTCCATATAGAAAGTTTTTTAAGAGTAAATCAGGTTCTCATCACCTCTTCCTGAACACCAGCTGGAATCTGCCTACATTCCCATTCATGGTCTGCGTGTGGTCCCCGCAAAAAGCTCAGAGAAGCCATCGCTTCTGAGCGTTTGTTCCAATTCAGCAGAAATCTTGGTGATTCAGGCATGAAGGACATGAACAATAGCATTGTGCAGGATTGACCAGAACACAACACTGCCAACCAGCACCATTTTAGCATTACTCCTGGATAACAAAAAGTAAAGAAAGAGGACTATGAACATCAATTAGTTGCACAGACAAATTAACATTTACTTTCAATTCTTCAGCGCAGTTCTTTCATTACATGTACTAATTCTTTTTGCTAACCTAGAGCCCTAATCCCAGTACCTGCAATGTAGGCTCCCGGTATGCCAATCACCACTATCACCTGAACACAAGAGCCCAGCATACCACAGACTTTAGGATGAGATACTTCAGATATACACATCTGAAACATACTTGGATCCAATTTTGGACCAAGGACTTTATAAGTAAGTAATTTCTGAAAAGTAAACAGATGTATTCCATACTAACTCCTCTTCTTAAAAAAAGCCTCAACAAAACAGAGTGAGCAGAAAAGCACCATCTCAGAAACATATATTGGTTTTATGAAAAAAAACTGGGAAAAAAGGGATGACTTAAGCAGGAAGAATGTCGATGCAGTATCAGTATCCCAAAGGTGAATAAACTCACATTACTATGAGCTTCTTTCCTTAACCATATTCAACAAGAAACACATCACCATAAAGCAGTCTAGAGAGCCTGGAAGAGTCTCTGCATAAACATGTAGCCCAAGTGATATATAAAACTCTTTGCAATGGAAGTTTCAGATTTTTTATTCAATGTAAAGGGTACAAATTATTTTATTCTCCATGAAGTTCAAAACTGACAGCTGACAACACAGGCTATGTGGACAGCATCACACCTCATCCAATATTTAGGATAAACTTAAACTTTTTAGCTATTTTTCATTATATGGACTCCAAGTCAATAGCTACAGTTTAGATATATACGTAAAAAAAAAAGAAATCCCTCACATTTATACATACGATTCTTTCTAAAGTCACGATTCTTTCTTTTTTCTGGAAGAAAAATAAAAAAGACCCTCATTTCAAGAATAATTTAGAGGTTCAAAAACTTGGTTTTATATATGACACTCTTCTCCCTCATTACTGCAGTCACAGTTTTTACTATTGGCTGTGGGTTAAGGCCTCTGTTTATGAAAACTTAGAGCTCAGCTCCGTCAAACAAAAAGAAGACAGTCATTTGTAAAGCAGACAGAATTCCTCCTGAGACATTAACACCACAGACTGAAGCAACCAAACTTCCAACAACAAAGTTGCACAAGACTGTAATTTAGACCCTGCTACGCTGAATCTTTCATACTCATGAAGATTGGTAAAGAATGAGCATTTATTCCATAGTTCATTATGAGTACTTCTTACCCTTTGACACTTCATTTACATCTCACTTTAAAAAACCCCTTGAATTCTGGGTGGTTTATTTCACACTACAACCTATTCAGCTAGATTCAAAAGGCACTACTTGACTTTACACAACTCCCCCAAATCTTATATAAGAGGAATTTGAAGAAATAAATGTTACTAGAACATAAACAGAAGCAATCAAATAAAGGGCTGAGAATCTGAAAGATGACACTGTATAAGGGCAGAAGTGCCACTTGAAGAAACAAAATTTGTTTTATTTATCTTTTATTCATTATTAAAACCAAGTAAAATATGATTCTATAAAAAAGATTATTCTAAATCTACCCAAGCTACCTATAACACTGCTATGGAAAAAGAAACAAAACCCCTACAAACACACAAAAATACAACCACGCATGCATACCCCCCCTGAAAAAAGTCTTACCAGAGCAACAAGTGAAGTAATTCCACTGGCTAAGCCTGTCAGCATCCATCCAAAATAAAGCATCCAAACATTCTGAGCAGATATAACAACTATATATCCAAAAACATATGGTACTGAACACAGCATTAGACTCAGCTTTCTCCCAACTTAGCCACAAGATAGCCTCCTAGTATTCCTCCAGCAGCAGCTCCTAATGTTATCACTGACTTTTAAAAAAAAAAGGATACATATAAATAAATATAAAACAAACTAAATAACAGACAGCCATGTCTTTAAAAATCTTCATGTAAATAGCGGCTTCTAAAAAACGTGCAAGTGTATGCAAGTGTTTTGAAAAATCAAGATAAATTAATTTCTTAATCAAGACATGGTCAGGAAGCACTGCTCACCACAACTGAACAGTAAGTAGTTTTCATGTTACAAACAAAGCTCTTTCAAAGAAGAAAAAAAGCAGCAGTAGCTGTTTCTTGATCTGTCTACAGCCGTCCTTTCACAAACAGGCCTTTCAAACTGTTTTAAAGCCCTGAAGAATTTGTCGTCTTGACTAACCTCAAATCCAGCCTGCACCCACAAGCACACACTCCCCTTGCTGACAGGCTGCACTAACTTATTGAAAAGTTTATCTTCTGTGGTCCCTTAATAGGTTCAACTGAGGAACATGAAAATGGTTAGAAAACATTCTAGCACCAAAAATAAGTTCAAATAGCAGTAGCATGTATTATTAACATACGCTGAGAGTACTCGGAGCATAACAGCACTGCTATGAATTGCTGAGTTTAGGGGGGAAAAAAAAAGATTTCACTATCAAGATCTGCATTCACTCCCACTCCCGGCAGAAGCAATGCCCTCTCGTACAAGCAGCATCTTTTCAACCCGTGCTTTCAGCTGAAATCACACAGTGGGAGTGCATCGCAGACTCGCCCCCAACCACGAGGCTTGATCGCTGTCCAGTCTTGGTTCGGCGCCGCTGACTCTCCTCAGCTCTGGAGTAACGGGTGAGCTCCAGCCCAGCGCAGCGGGCAGCG